CTATATAGGGCCATTATGAGTTGGAACTGACTTAATGGCACTTAACAACAACAAACAGGACAAAGCAAAACAGACAATTATCCTTTATAAGAAACATATTAGCATGTACACAGCACAGAAACCAGTGTTTTGGAATTGCAGATTTGGAATCTGCCAAATCACAGCTCAGATGCTCATTACATTCACTAGAGAACAAAGGAAATCATCACGAGATCCTGATCAGCAGTAGGTTAGTTCATCCCTGTTGCATGTACAGGTTTAAAAGGTTACAGGATTGGTTCCGGGGTTTTGATTATTTGGCTTCATAGTGGTAAACTATGTAGTATGTATGTAGTGGTATGACTCATAATCATGTGACCTTTTAAAGTGTTTATTGTGAATTGAGTGATAGCTTACTTTTTTTGGGGGTGGGGTGGGGCGGGGTGGATGTGCAACAAAACACTCAGAAATATACAACCATTCAAACAGCCAAAGGGCACACCCTGCAAGCCTGCCCCCCACTCCCACCTGCACGCATCCCTTTTCCTTCCTTGAGTCTAGAATCCTCAGCTGCTCCGTCTCTCCGTGTCATCATCTCTGCCTCCATCTCTGGTGTTGCCACTTTTCTGGGTAGGGTCCCACACTCTGCTCCTGCTTTTCTCCCTTAATGGTCCTAGGGTCCTCTGCTCTGGTACCATAGATTGACAACTCACTCCTTTTTACTTCAAAACTTCTACTTTGTTTTGAACAATCCCAATTAGTTGCAGCAATCCCAATTAGTCATGATAACAATTGCTCACTGTTGAATCATGAGTATCTTGTCCCCATCTCCTTTCATCAGACCTGTCTAGACAGTATGAAAACCACTCAATAGGGATTCTGTCTTCCCCCTCACACTCTGAATCTAAACTCCTTGAAAACTTGTAAGCCAGTCACTTTGTGCCTTTACAGCTCCCCATTTTAGGTAGCCAGTGTCTAAATTGTCCATCACTATCAACCAGATGATCCTTGCTGTGAAGATTCCTTCCCTTGTGGTTAGGACCCCTTCTTTTAATTGAAGTTAGTCAGTATACCTCAGATTGGCTACTTTGAGTAAATTCCCAGGGAGGTTCTCTAGTTCTTTACATCTGCTTAGTGAATATTAGTTCATCTACTTGTTTAGTTTAAAGTTAAGCAGTTTATTAAGTAAGAAGGTACAACTTGAGATCAGCATTAGTATGCTACATTTTGGGAAGCATGTGGACAAAGTCTTCCTTCTTCAGTGAAGGACAGCTCTCTCAGCCCCCTCATTTCAGACTTCCTCTTTGGGCCTTGCTGTTTGTTGCCACAAGCTCTGCTGCTGGGTGCCTCCCAGACCTGTTGCTGTCTTCAGTGTTAGAGCTCTTTTAAGAGGTTCCTTTCTTTCTATTTTACCCTTCTGTTTTTACCTGCTGCTTCTCCTCCAGCTTTTTTCTGTCTCTGAAACCTTCTGTGGAGTTGGCTTTTTATAGTCATAATTTCTTGTAAATTTCAAAACATGATCTATCATCACCTCAGTAGGATCCAAAAAATGAGCAGTCCTCCTCTTAGTAGGGCCACAGACATTTTTCATTTGCATAGTAGGTTTTGCTCTCTTCATTTGCACAGTCTATTGGCCAATCCCTGCAAGGTGTATACCAATCATAGGGCAGGCTACAACTCAGGACCAGACAAAGGTATCAAAACCAAGTTGTTTACAATTTACACAGGAAATGTCAATCAGGACAAAAGTAATAAACCTTCCTCGCTAGGAAACTAGGGCAGAGAGAAAAATCTTTTAAGATGTTTTTCCACAGAACCAAGGGAAAATCTATTCTTTTGTCCCAATAAGATCACACCATTGATAGAGAGGGTTTGACTACATTTTCGATTCATATGCCTTTTGTTTCTTTTTGTTGCCTAATTGTGTGGCTGAATTTCCAGGGGGTGGCTGTGGGCAAAATGTCCATCAGGCCCACGGAGATGGGGAATGCATGGCTCCAAATGTGCTGGGTAGTGTGCACTCAGTGTCCACTCTGCAGGGGCAGGCCTCTGACCTGGGGAATGGCTCCATGATGGAAGGTGTCACGTGCTGTTGGGGAGTGAGTGTTGGGGCTGGTCACACTTCTGATCCCTGGGAGGGTGATTAAGTCAGTTATCAGGTCACGGTGCCATTTGTAACACTGCTTGCAAAAGTTCAAAGTTCCTGTGTTATGCCAGGCCAGGTGACAGGTCACTGTTAAGTTTTTCTCTTTGTTTGCTTTTTTTGTTCACCTCTTGCTACCCCTGTGTTTGATCCACTTTTCTGTCCTTTCTTCTGAAGCTCAGGGTTCCAGGGTTAACATTTGTATCTGCTGCTTTTCATTTCCTCTCTTTGTTGATCCAGTCAGAACCGTGGCTTTCAAGGGGATCTGCTCTGTCTGTTAAATCCTTGGCAGAGAGGTCAGCTCAAAAGGTTATTGTTGTTGTTAGGTGCCATCGAGTTGGTACCAACTCATAGCAGCCTTGTACACAACAAAACAAAATACTTCCTATTCCTATGCCAACCTCAAAATTGCCCTTGTGCCAATCCGTCTAGTTGAAGGTCTTCCTCTTTTCTTTTGACATTCCACTTTACCAAACGTGATATCCTTCTCCAGGGACTGATCCCTCCTGACAGTATGTCCGAAGTATGAGTGACGAAGTCTGTCCATCCTTCCAACACAGACCTGTTAGTTCTTTTGTCAGTACATGGTGCTTTTAATATTCTCCTCCAACACCATAACTCAGATGCATCAATTCTTCTTTGATCTTTATTATTCACTGTCCAACTTTCACATGCTTTATTGGTTATTAACAATACCAAGGCCTGGATCAGGTCCACCTTAGCCATCAAACTGATATCTTTAGTCTTCAACACTTTAAAGAGGTACTACAGATTTGCATAATACAATACGTTTGATTTCTTGACTGTTGCTTCTATGAGTGTTGATGGTTAATCTGAGTAAAATGAAATCTTTGACAACTTCAATCTTTTGTCCATTTATATGAATGTTGTTTACTGGTCCAGTGGGGAGGATTTTTGTTTTCTTTACATTGAGGTGCAACCCATCAAAGGCTATGGTCTTTGATCTTCATCAGTAAGTATTTTAAGTTCTCTTCACTTTCAGCGAACAAGGTTGTATCATCTGCATATCGCAGGTTGAATAAGTCTTTTTCCAATCCTGATGCCACATTTTTCTTCGTATAATCCAGTTTCTCAGATTATTTGTTTAGCATTCAGATTGAATAAGTATGTTAAAAGAATACAACCCTGGTGTACACCTTTCGTAATTTTAAACCATTCAGTGTTCCCTTGCTTTCTTTGAAAAACTGCCTCGTGGTCTATGTACAGGTTCCTCATGCGCACAATGAAGTGTTCTGGAATACTGAGTCTCTGCAATGTTGTCCATAGCTTGTCGTGATCCACACAGTTGAAAACCTTTGCATAGTCAATAAAGCACAGGTAAACATCTTTCTGGTATTCTCTGTCTTTAGTCAAGATCCGTCAGACATCAGCAATGATATCCTTCGTTCCACATTCTTCTGAATCTGCTTGAACCTCTAGAAGTTCCCTGTCAGTGTACTGCTGTAGCCATTTTTGTATTATCTTTAGGAAAATTTTACTTGTGTGCTAAGCTCTGGTAGCGTAGTGGTTACGAATCGGGCTGCGAACCTTAAGGTCAGCGGTTCGAAACTACCAGCTGCTCTGCGGGAGAAAGATGAGGCTTTCTACTCCCGTAAAGATTTACACCCTTGGAAACCCTGTATAGGGTTGCTATGGGTTGGAACTGACTCGACGGTACATAACAACAACAAAAACAATATTAATGATATTTCTTTGTTCCATTGCGTCACCTCTCTTTGGAATGGGGCACAAATAGGAATCTCTTCCAGTCAGTTGGCCAGGTAGTTTTCTTGCAAATTTCTTGGCATAGATGAGTGTGAGTGCCTCCAGTGTTTCATCATTGTGTTGAAAGATTTCAATTTACATTCCATCAATTTCAGGTGCCTTGTTCTTTGCCAATGCCTTCAGTGTGCTTTGAACTTCTTTCTTCGTTGTTATTTGTGCTTGATCATATATGACCTCTTGAAATGGTTGAACAGCGACCATTTTTTTTGTGTGTGTACAGTGACAGTTCACCTGCTCATTCTTCTAGGGTATCAAGGATTGTGAGAACTTCCTTGGTAAATTCTACCCTATACCCCTGATTTTAATCTTTCAAGTTTCTTTTGTTTCCAGAACTCAAAGAACATTTAAAAGTAACATGATTTGAGTTCCTCAAGGATGCTGAAACTACTGTTTTCATTTGGTGTAAATGGAAAGGTGAAGAATCATTTAGGGAATGGTTCAAGAGGTGGAAATACCATCTTTTAGAAGGATATAATACCTTTACATTGTGATATTTTTATTAAAAGGTTTTTATGATTTTTTTTCACAGTAGTTTTTCAATTACTTTGGCACGTACAAAGTCATATAGTAGGTACTAAAGTGAATTTACTATGTGTAAAAAATGACATCTGTTAGCTTATGTAGAATGACTAGTGTTTGGGTAGGAGAGTCTACTAAAACCTGGGAACATCATTTGGAATCAGTATGGAATTGTACATGGAGGCAGAGGCTAGCCATTAAAGCATTGGAACCTTGGGAGTGCTTTAGAAAGTGAATGTTATTCCCAGTAGGGAGATGGGTTTTATAGGGATGAACATTTGTGTGAGCAGTTGGAATTAGAGGAATAGGAAGCTATTGGCTGTTAACTCTTTGAGTGACTGATGAGAGCTTAGTACCTAGATGGGATGGAGATAAAGTGCACAGGATGACTTAGGGACACATTAATTGAAGTCAGGAGGTGGGAATAGCCGAAGAGTACTTCTGAGATTTCTTGCCCAGGAACTGGTATTATATGTTGTAGCATTTGTATTGTCTACTTTCTTTAGATCATTTTGTACAAGATTCTCCTAATTTTTATGCACTTAACAGTTTTCTTTTTTACTCTGTATTTCAGGTGGATCTTTTGCGAGCAGGGGAAGTTCCTAAACCATTTCCAACACATTATAAAGATTTGTGGGATAGCAAGCATGTTAAAATGCCTTGTTCAGAACAGAATTTGTATCCAGTGGAAGATGAGGTAGGAACAAAACTGATTCGTTGTTGTTCTCTGAAAGATGATTTGGTACTTAAGTTTTTGACTTTTGATACTGTGATGCAAAAAAGTCTTGGGAAGCGTGTTCTCATACGGTTTTCTTTTTCCTAAAAGAATGGTGAGCGAACTGCTGGAAGCCGGTGGGAGCTCATTCAGACTTCACTTCTCAACAGATTCACACGACCCCAGAACCTGAAGGTACCTTCTTTTTTCCAAGCTTCTCTCTTTACGCATACTTCGTATGTATTGGCTCTGTGTTTTCTCTTTAAGTCTTGTTTGCCCTTAATAAACTCATGTAACACAATTGTTTATAGTCCAGCATGGTTTATATTCCAGGTGCTTGCTTGTTGTTGTTGTTAAGTGCTGTGGAGTCGGTTCCAACTCATAGCGACCTGTGTAGGGTTTCCAAGGAGCAGCTGGTGAGCTTGAACTGCTGACCTTTCAGTTCAAAAGACTTTGCAATCTGATGCATTAGCCCATAGCGTCACATCAGGACTCTTGCTTATTGGAGACAAATTTAGAGAGATTTTTGGTTTCCACTCCATCATAAGAAAAGGAGTCAAAGAACAGAGTTGTAAATGAGTTGCCTGGAGCCATGCAGAATAATTCTGAGACTCAGGAATAAGATCTGTTTCTCGATTCCACATCCAATTTTCTTCTGTCTGACCTTCTCTTATTTTTGTTTTAACATTACCATGTTGCTGACATGCATTTAAATGTTAGTCAGTAGAGAATTATGACTTTAGCAATATTTGCCTAAAGGGAAGCTGATTTCCTAATGATTAAGGTATACATTAAGTATTCTAGTTTTTATTGGTCTTATTTTAGCTCCTAGTCATTTTATTATTTATTAATCCTTTTTTAGGGGACTCTTGGTGTTGTGCTATTGTTTACGAACTGTACTATGAACCAAAAGATTGCCATTTCAAACCTATCAGTTGCTCCTCAGAAACCCTGTTCTTTTTCCTAAAAGAATGGTGAGCGAACTGCTGGAAGCCGGTGGGAGCTCATTCAGACTTCACTTAACAACAACAATAATCTTTTTTAAGGCAATAATTAAAATTTTTAATTAAAAAACCCCATGAGACTATAAGGGCAATCATTCAGTTGTTTTTCTAATTTCTAAATGCTAACTGGACTTTTTTATCTTTGTGGCACCATAGCCATGAAGTCTATTCCAGCTCAGAGCGACCCTATAAGAGTAGAACTGCTTCAAGCCCCAACCATTCCTCCTACAGCCCTCTCTGTTCAGCTGGGCTCCATAATCCATTGTACTCACAGTTAATGGGGTTCATCAGGGAAGTTTACAGGTTACAGTTCGGGGTTAGAAATGCTCAGGGCACAGTTGTTCCCATCAGCTGCCAATAAATGCTCCTCAGGTCTGAAGGCACTCGGCTTCAGCTCTGAGAGTCAGCAAACCTATTTCCTCCTGCTCTTACAAGCAAGCCTCCTGCCCAGAGTCACTCAGCTTTACTTGCTTTGTGGGATGAGAAGTCCACAACTCAATCTCATGCTCTGGTTCTTGGATCTGCTGCTTTTTTCTCCTCTGCCACTCCTCCAGTGTCCCAGCTTTACTGTCCCTAGGTTGAGGAAGATCATTGTGCAGGGATTCCAGGGTCCAAAGAACACACTTCGCTCTGTCTCTTCTTCTTTGATGGTAGTGTGATCCCCCTTCCTGCTTCTGAAATGATTTGTTTTATACCTTGATTAGAGTATCAAGCTTTTACAATTATAACTATCTCTGCTACCATCCACAGCTAAATCATGTCAACGTATCAGTATCTTCTCCCACCTTCTCTTATCCATACCCCGCAGGGCAGAAATACTGTTTGGTAGGAGTTACTATTACTAAAAGAAATTTGAGATAATTTGCTAGATTACAAACAACCCCCTGGCTTTAGAAGAGCCTTTGTTCCTTTCTTACATGATATATTAACTTGCCCCATATCATTTTAATTGTGCACACCCATGAAAGCTTATAAGCCAGCCACTGCATGTCTTTATCATCTCCCATTTTTGATAGCCTATTTCTAATTTTGATTGCCAATTTAGATAGTCTTCTGAGGAGACAAATATCTTCTGTTCTTCCTAGAACTTTAGGCATCTGCATCGTAAGCAAAGTCTAGTCCACAGCAAGCCATCAGAGTAAGTAGTTTGAAGCCATGACTACTGTGCTGGGGAAAAGTGAGGCTTTCTGCCCCCATAACCTATATAGGTTGGCTGTGATTTGGAAGAGACTTGACAGCACACAACCATCCCTACTACCACTTTCATTCAGAATGAAGATTTTTGAACTTCATCCATATTAAGTGCATAAGTAGTTCATTTCTTTTTATTACTTATAAATAAGTATTCAAGTATATGTTTTGTTTGTGCATTTACCTGCTGGTGGACATTGCTGTATTCTGAAGTCAGATGCCAGGGATTAGGAAACAAATGACATCTTTCAGTTATGCAAGCTTTTTATATTCCATGGTTTTAAATAATTAGTGTACTTTTTTTTTTTACCTAAATGTTTGGTGATTGTTTATATAGCGTGCAATATTTTTCAAGAAGCTCTTTGTCAGTGTGCTAGTTTTTGAAAACTCTAAGGATATTTAGAGGTTTTCAGTTGTAATTTAATATGATTTTCAGACTTGTATACTCTTTCAGTAAAAAAAATTTCAAGCTTCAAGAAGTTCATGGAAAAATGGAATGAAAAGATGAAGGAATTTTCCCATGACTTTTCAAAGCTGCTTATATATAGTGTACCCTTTGGTTTTGGTTATTAATTCCCCATGATCTGATTTTTATCTACTTGGAATACTATATGATCCCTATGATAATCATGCTTTTCTGTAATTATAATGTTTTTCCCCTATGATTTCACTTTTCTAGTCTTATATTTCTTATGCAAATAATAAATAAATTAATGTGCATTCTACATCTCTATAACTACTGATAAGGAATTGTAGGAAGAAATTTGTCCAGCATTAAGAAATTTACTGCAAGAACTTCTAGTTCATAAAATTAGATTTCACCTGTATGAATCATGAGATTTTATTTATGCTTTTTCCATAGGATGCTATCCTGAAATATAATGTGGCATATTCTAAAAAATGGGACTTTACAGCATTGGTTGATTTCTGGGATAAGGTAAACATATGCTTATTTCTTTAACTTAATATGACAAATCTGTGAGAAGGTTTGGAAAAAACAGACTTAGTTCTAAATCTTTAATTTCTGTAAATTTCATGTTACTTCATTGTGTACATGTCTTAATGGATCTAATTAAGACTTAATAATTGTGAATTTTGCTTTGTGTTCTTGTAATAACAGTATTTTGTTATATTGTATCATTATCAATGGCTGCATTTAATATTACACCACTAGATTCTCTGACCTAAATTCCCTGTCAGTTAGTAGTTGTTCTTGGGAGCTGTGAAGCTGACTTCTAGTGACGGTGTCGATCTACCCCACGGGGTGTCCTCAGCTGTCATTTTCACAGAGCAGGCTGCCAGGTCGTTTCTTCCACAGAGCTGGTGATTGGTTAGGAGCCATTGCCCTACCAGGCCTCTTAGTAACATGTTTCCTTATGTGTAGGAGAGTAAGCCCAAAAGTATTGCTATAAAAATTATGGGAACCTTTAAAATGAAATACCAAAATATTAAATTGATGTTTTCAGCATACTTTCCATTTAGATCTATGCATTTCTAAAGACTGTCATCCCCTCACCCTATCCCTTTCCTGAAGAATTCTCTGCTTTTTTAATTTATACCATGTTCAAACAATCATGTTCCTTTGAAATGGTCCTTGAGTTTTGGGAAAAAGAAGCCTGAAGGTTGGACGGGGTTTTTTCCCAGTGACATTCTCATCGCATAACCCTTGTTATCCTTGTAAAAAAAAAAAAACAACAGATGCATTGTCTTGATGAGAAAAAATATTCTCGAAGTAACTTCCTGGTCTTTTTCCCACCAATTCTGGTTTCAGTTTTTTTAAAATTTCTTCATAAAAAATCCCCGTGATCATTCTGTGTCCTTTGAAAAAGTCTACCAATATTAGCACTCTGGTACCCCAGAAAACAGTCACCATAACTTTCTGAGCTGACCCATTTGCTTTGAATTTAACTGGCCCAACAGATCCCTTCAGATTGTTTTGATGGAATTTTTTTAAGGTACCCTAATAAACAGCATTCTTATCA